GGCTAGGATTCACTAATTCACCATAAATTCACTATATAGTCACCGCTTACACATTCACAACATATTCACAATTCAATGTTAGCTCGTGATCTTATATTTCATCACATGTATCACATCTTACACACATAGGGCTAAGATTAATAAAACCACTACTTATCACAACCTAAAACATGCATATGATTTCTTATGGCAACTTTCATTTACAAACGTATAACAAAACAAGTTCATTACACAAACTCTTCACTACACGATGGTAGCATTACTATGCCGGTCTAAAATTCTTTCCTTTTCCTGACTCACTACTTGCACCTGTATATAACCACAAGGTAAGATAATAATATCAGTAATAGAATAATTTACAACTATTAACTATCATAGATAACTATAAGCAAATATTGCATATTAGTAGTCGAATATAATATATAGCATAATTTCATAAAACTATTTTCACAACAAATTATTACCACTAGCATGATTAACTACCGTTCGATCTTTCATATTATCCCGACCAAAACCATAGGCTCTTATTAGGCCAATACACACTCCTTGACCTAAGTGCACCTTCAGTGGTACAATCACTCGACCAAAGGTGTTCTGTTCCACTTTCAGACTAGGGTTTCCCCTATCACATATAATGATCAAGGTATTGTTACTCCAACACTACATCACATAAATGCTAAGGAGCCCAAATCTCCAAGACTGTACTCATATGAGCATTAAGGAGATAATCTCCAACACTGCATTTTATCAGGTATTAAGGAGATGAAATTCTCTAACACCGCTTCTCGTTGAGCACTAAGAATAATGATGCCATATGAACTTCTCGTTACTTCTCTCTATGGTGAACTCTTACCCTCTTATGATCATGCTTATTTACAACCAAGTGGTTGCATTCCAAATCCACACACACACATACAGTTATACAGTCGCATTTTTTATAAATCCATTTCCTTAAAATTCATTTATTTGAAAATCCTTTTCATTGAAATCCTTTTTCATGCGCAAATGTTTTCCTTAACCAAACACAATCTAAAACAGTTTCATGCATTAGCTATACAAACAGTTACAATAGACAATCAAATAGAGTAAGTTATTCAACTATCTCAACCCTTCTATAACAAGAAAAGGGTTACTTATGGATTTCTCAACAAATAATGTCTTCACTTGCTTCCTTTTCTCAAGTTACACGCGCAACACAACAATCTAAACACAATTAACTATATTAGTCAATTAATCAAATTGACCGGGAGTACTAATTATTCTTTAAAACCACATTTGGCTATTCTTTTTCTTTTAACTTAAGCAACTTAAGTTTATTACAACCCAATATCCTAATACATCTCTTTCACAACTTCACTCTTATTTTCCTTTTTTATTTAGAGCTAATTTAAGCTTACAACTTTAAAACTTTATCATTTAATTTTAAATTAGTCACAAAATCTTAATTTGATCATGGAGAACTTTTTCATTATGAAAAGATAAGAAACAAACCCCTTCAAATTTTTTAATTTAATTTCTCTATAACTTATATTAAAAGAAATTAGGGTAGAATCAAAGCTAAAGGTAGTACAAAACTTATCTGGTAAACTATTAGTCAGAAATGTCTCCCTCAGCTTTAAAATTTGATGCCTTAGTAGAGCAAAACTTCCCTTCCTCTCCTCCACGTGTTGTCACTCTTCTTCTCTCTATTTTCATGAGCTAGACACGTTTCTATTAACTGATTTTTTGTGCCGTATGCCGTGATGCATATAGCATTAGTCGCAACGCATGACACAGTAAGAAAAATTCTCATCATACACACCTACTTCACTTTGAAATGTGATCCTTTTGCGCGTATCTGATCATCCAACATTCTAAAGAGTCAAAATACTAAAAATATTCAAAAAAAATTAATATAATATTTTTCAAAAATTAGAGTGTTTAAAAATATATGTGGAAACATGAAATACAACACTTAGCATTGAGAGTTGGATGCTAAAGGATACAACAATCATTTAGGGAAAAACATACCAATTTACCGTGACTAAGAGTATGTTTATCGTGGCTAACTAGGAGTTGACACACTCGGCGTGGCTTGTTGTATGTTCGCCATGGCGAAAGGCACAGAGACTTACTTGTCACGGCCATGATTTTACTTGCCATAACCAACACACCCTATACACTCATCGTGGCTAAGATTGTTATTCGTCGTAGTGAATCTTGCATTATCAGCATAATGAACAGCATGTAAAAATTAACTTCCAACCCATATAATTAACCACTCAGACCTCCAATTAAGGCAATCTGAGAGTCTAAATGCAAACAATTTATATATCTAACTGCTAACACCATTTATAACACAATTTGATGCCAATTAAGAATCCTAAAACACCAAGTGGTAATATGAGCCTTTAATACCAATCACATAACTTAGGTTAAGTTAGACATGCGTGGATATTTATATCATAATTGGTAAATAAACCTTTAATATCAACCAAATTCATCACAAATTAGAACCTCAACCTTTTCCTAAAAATATTTCAGAAGTATGCATTTGTCCTAGAGTTGGCAACATAACATTCAATTACATTAGAGCTAAACTAGAGACTTTACAAATGAAGCTTTAGTTTTTTTGGCATTGATGCCTCCCCTTTTCCTTTGGCCTTATCACCTCTCGGAAAATATTAAGTAATGGAAGCAAAATTAAAAAATCTCAAAAACCAAGAATATAATCAAAGTATAAAGTGTGGCAATTACAATCAGTTAGGCAATATAAAACACATAACTCAGTCCATATAATAAACATTAACATTCACATTTTAATGCTTTATGATTAATGCAATCACCTTATATCCCTCCTTATATTATCTGATTGAACCTATGGGCTATTAACTCATATAAGACAAACCTATGTGACTGAATTAGTCCCACTCTCCAATTGTGATGGATCGCTAATCAAAAGTTTTCATACTCACTCTCAAATTATGGGTTTCCCTTACTCAAATCTTAGGGTGTCATAAGTGCTTGATCCATACTATCCAGTCTAGGATTGATGATATTAAGCATCATACCCAACTCATGCCACACCAATAGTTTGTTAGCAATACCAAGCATATTAATAATGAAATATGACTCTAAGGTGAACTCCCATTCTTCATGATTATACAAGTTCAATTTAACATATGCAAATATAATTCATGCATATCATACTAACTTAATATATTCATAATCACAAAAACTTGCATGTTTATCACAACTCACACACAATATAATCATAACAACCCATCATAACAACAGCTATACATAGCCAAACTAAACCCATATTTCATCTTACTAACATCAACAATACATAGCTAATCCGAGCCCACATTTCATCATATTAACGTCAATCATGTTTAACCAATCCAGGCCCACATTTGATATCTCATTATCATATAGCATTCATATTAACATAGTCACTAAACATGTTATCTCTACTAGCTATGCTTACCATTTAACATTCACTCAGAGTCAACAAATTTATCAACAAGTCCATATTTCTCATTTCAGGCCATTGATGACAATATATTCACAAGTTACAATTGTAGACACTGTAATATAAAACAATTAAATTCCTAAGCACCTTGACTCTTAGGTTATTACCCCAGGAGTACAACTTGAACTGTAAGAGATCTTCTAACAAGCCCAAAAACTTTTAAAGGCTGTCAATCTATAATTTACCGTAATCAAACATCATTAATGACTAATTATTATTAATTAGCTTTTAATCATGATTAAGGCTTAAGACCCTAATTAGTGATATTAATAATAAACAATCTCATTTTTAGCGTGCGCGCGCAGAGACACAAAGAAAAACACACAAACATATAAGTCTCTAACTTCTCAAAACATTATAAAAACCTCCCCTAAAGTCTAGGGTTTTTAGATTTTAACATTCCATTATCATAATTATCATCAAAATTACTTAAACTACACTTATTCCATTTACTGGGTACTAAGGAAATTGAAAACTCAAGATGAATCCAAGCATAAAATAGCTTAAAGAGAAGGTTAAAAGATGGGAGGAAGATTAGAAGTGTTACCTTGAGTGATTAAGAGTTAGAATTCGTGCCCTAATGTTGGGAACTCCAAAACCTTAGTAGAGCTTTTCAAAAATTGCCACAAACCTCTCAAAAACTCTATTTTATCATTATGTTTCTCCATAGAACATTTAAGTCTAAAAATGATCCATTCACTGTGGCCAACGATACAGTTTCATTGACCCAAATTCAAAAATTCATAATTAATTTCACATATTTCCAAAAATTATGAATGAGGACTCTATAAAAAGCTTATAATGTATACTATCTAATTAAAAAACAATTACTCAAAAATATTTTCATTTAATTTTATTTTACTTAATATAAATTTTAATTTAATCTAAAATTAATTTAATATAATTTAATAAATATCAATGTAACATATAAAATTTCTAATTTTTTATTTTTCTATAATTGTTATGTTTATGTAGGTATAAAATATTAATTTTTTTACCAAAATTTATATTTTATTACTAGTAAATATTTAATGTATTTATATATGATATAAAAATTTGTAAAATAATAGTTATTTTATTATTTCATAATTCTTATATATTTTTAATCATTATCTTCACTATACATGTATATTTATATTAATATAAGGCAAGACTATGTGTTAATATATGGTTTTTATCAACTTTATTTTTTAAGCCAATTATAGTACAAGGTTAAAATTATTTTTAATTATTTAAAAAAATGAGTATGAGAAAATTAGAAATAAATAAGAATGAAAAAATAAAAAAAATTAAAATTTTAGTGAGTATACCCAAAATTTTTTTTTGGCCAGTCGTATACCCAAAAGTTTAATAATATCTAATATAGAAGAGTTGGGTGTAAATTTATAAAATAAGTTTTACTTAGGGTAATTAATTTTGCTATTTTAATAATTAATTTCGGGCCTATACTAAATTCTTCCTAAAATTAATTGTAAATCCCGAGAAAACCCTTTCTCGTGAGTAACGGATCCAGTTCTCTTAGTCGACGAACGAGCATCCCATACTCCGTCGGACGCCGTCCACCGTTGCCCTGCGTGGTTGTTCTCGGGCAAGCAGTGAAGAAGGTTCGAACCCTAGGGCTTTTCTACTCCCAAAATTCGGTGAGATTGATTCGTTCAATCTGGTCTTTCGAATCTATATTTGAATTTTTCTCCGCGTCATCTGTTCTCGCTGTTCTCGCTTTGTTTTAAACTTTTCATGTTAATTTGTCTTTGAATTTTGTCGTGTAATCGTTGAATAATTTTTTTTTTTGGTACTAGTTTTTGCTTGAATGGTGTGTAATTGGCTATTATACTTCTTCCCTCTTCATTTTGATTACTAGCGACCTGTATGATTTGGATATTGTTTTTTTGTTTTGGCAATGTTGGATTTGTTGTATTTTCATTATTTGGGCATTCTGTTTATTAATCTTTCTTTATTATCATCAAATTTGTAAATTCTCAAGGTAATTGTGATGTATGATCTTGTAAATGACTTGGCTCGAGTTCTATCAAAGTATCTGGAACAAAAATTAAAAGGACATTATATCAACTATGCATATTTCAAAGATTTCGGTGGGGGCATTTTCCTCCACTGAGCGTAGTATAGGTCCGCCTGTGACTCCAACCAAAGAAATTCTTAGATACATGTAAGAATATTGAAATGGTCTTTTCATAATCTCTTTATTTCGAAAAATTAGTTGTATTAGTTACTTACACTAGTTTGCTGAGTATTTCAGGAGAATCAGAATTTTATTTGTGTGGTGCATGTTTATCAATGTATGGTTTGATAATCACTCAACATCTGTTTATGCTATTATTTCAATGCTCTATCTCAGTTTGGGAAAGTAGCTTTGCCTAGATGGTTCATGCATCCATTGTTTGTTTGGCTAAGAGTCAATGAATCTCAATTCGATCAAGATGGATAATAATTACATTAATTCAGAGGGAACTTCCTTTGTTTTTCTGGTATGTAGATTTCTTATCTATATTCATTAAATACACCGTTCTCTTTCTCATCTGTACATGGAGCACATAGACTTCAGAAATTTTTTGTATTCATAATCTATACAGTTGTATCCTTCAGGCTATCAGATTCTGTATTGTATTTCAAATTAACGCCTTGCAGAATGCAGTTCTATTTTTTGTATCAAATCAGTTGTTTAAAGCTTTTTATCTGTAAAATTTTTAGATAGTGCAATAGATAGGTTTAATAGGAAGAGATTTTTAAAAGTACAATATGTCTTGTGGCCTGCCCTGGTTAACTGACTGGACTTGGTCGGTCTGGACTACAGGTTGAAATCTTAGACTTTAGTCTTATGCTCTGCTGGGCAGGGCAAGTCTGGCCTGTAAACTGCTATGGGCGTTGCTAAGCAAGCAACTTGAATATTTATATATGAAATAGGGACCTGCATGCTTGGTGACGTGTTTAATAGAGATAAATGGTTTTGATTTGCTTTTTTCCCTTTTTTTTTCTTTTGCAAATTTCTCTGTTTTTATTCATGTCACTATAAAAAGTTGCAACTTGCATGAGATATGCAGTTTGAAAACTCATATAAGGAGTGCCGATCATGTAAGTATATTTGATTTGAAACTGAATAGTATTGCATCACCCAATCTTAAGATGTTTATGTCATTTTTGTTTAGGTTGGGCCTTGGGCTGAAAAACACATCCTGACCATTTAATCATCCTCAGACTGGGCCTCAAGGTAATCTAAAGTCTAGCCTAGCACATATGCGCCCTTGCTATTCATAATGTCAACATTACATTTTAGACACTAGTATTTCATTAGCTCACTCCACCTAGTGAGATAGGGCTTGTTGTTATTGTTGTTGCAGACACTAGTATTTTATTAAATATCTTGAATATTTGTGAATCAGATCTGGCTATTTAGATGCACTAGTTGGCCCATCCAATTTATATATTGAACAGTTTTGAACATCAAAGTACAGCATAAACGGATATAAATATATATTGAACATCAAAGTATAGCATAATTGGATATGCGTAGATTGGGCCAGAGCCTTAGAGAAGGCCTGAGAAGTGAAGATCACTCTTATCTGATATCTCTTCTAATTGACCAGGAAAAACAGACATTTCTCTAAAACCGGCTTAGATTCTCAGTTTCATCTCTATGAATGCTTAGCAGACAGCCTCAAGGCTGTTGCTGATTTGCTGTGAACGGACCAGAAGGAAGCAGTGCTGGTGTCATCTCTTCTAGGACGAACCTCTTCTGTCATAACTGTTGGACTTGCAACAACAAATTCTGCAAAATGTTTGGCGTGCGTGGTTCTGCTGGAATTGTTTCTGATGTTGTTTACCAGCTTCGTCAAACTTTATCAGTGAGTGTCCAACCAATAGAACTCTCAGCTTGGATTAGTTCCCTTCCATGTTTTAAATCCATCATCACTGGATGATCTGAAGTAGAAAAATTGTGTTCTATGATTTTGCCCTAAGGTTTGTTTTGCTCGAAGATTTTCCTCTTGAGCTTGATTTTCTCTTTGTAGCCTACTAGCCTATGATTGATGTGTTTGTGTGATTATTGATATTCCATATCTCCAAGGAAGCCCAATGGAGCACTGTGCTCTCAAATTCAAATTCCTTTGCTTTCATTTGCCCGGTTTTTAATTTATCATTAGACAAGCATTGTTGTTAGGGTGTGGTAGGTATCAATATGACCCTTGCTAATTTTGTACAGACATAGTTCTTGCTAACTTAGGATCAGTCTGAGTCCCAGTCTTTGACTCAGCTTTATCTAGCAAGATCATTCATTCATACCTATATTTAAATCCAGTTCTTTAGGGAGCTTATATCCCCTCTCCTGTCCACTGTTGTGTGAATTAGTAACTCTAAGGTCACGTTTGGTTACTAGAATGAAATGAATTGAAAAAATAAAGATAAAAATAGACTAAATCACCCTCCTTTTCATGGTACACATGATAAAACTCGTTAATATATATTACAAATGTAGGAATCATCACACCCTCCAAAAATCTTTTGAATCATGATTCCCAACTCCATAAACTAAATTATTCTTCTCCCTTATAAATGTGCTCACCTATCTCTTTGATCATTTTATTTTTATTTTTATTTTTTTAATCTATTCCATTTCATTTCATTCTAGTAGGCAAACGTGACCTAATAGTTTCAACTGTCTCTTCAATACTCAGCAATTTAGCAACCAAATGGAGGACCAATCTCATCTTTTTTTCTATTCCCTGACCTAATGCAGCTTCATGGTGTGCGAGTACAAAATATAAACATCGGGGGTGGTGTTGGAGGGGAGATCCCTGACAACAAGCGCCTCCAGTATGCCCTGCAGCACATACATGGAATTGGCCGTTCCAAAGCTCACCATATTGTCTGTGAGCTTGGGGTCGAGAACAAATATGTCAAGGACCTTAGTAAAAGAGAGCTATATTCCCTTCGAGAATTACTTTCCAAGTACATGCTCGGCAATGACTTGGTATTATCTCTGACTATTTCTAACAAAAATTTCTCTACCTCAATGATACTTGTGCTAGTTCTGTAATGTGTATAACGCAATCTCTTTTGATCCTATCAGAAAAGGTGTGTCGAGAAAGATATAGAAAGGTTGGTCAGTATTCAGTGCTACAGGGGTTTCAGACATGTGGATGGGTTACCCTGCAGAGGACAACGCACACATACAAATGCTCGCACCAGGAAGAGCAGGCCAGGTTTTGCTGCATCAAGATCTGCTCAATAGACAGATGAGTCATGTTTCTGCTTTGCGATGGACAATTTGAATTAGCTTCTGATATAAACTATGTTGTTACTTTCAGTGACTCGTAATTTTTTGCAGCAAGTTTAGCGTTGCTTAGTTAGAAAACTGGCACGTCTCACCATATGTGTTAGTTTTCTTGATTGCTTTCTGGTTTTAGTTGTTCAATAATGGTAACATTATCCTCTCGTGAATGAAATTATAATTTTTTGGGATTGATGGTACGAATGCAATCATTGCCTTCTTAATCATTAAATCATTTATATGTTTTTTTTAATCTGTTGAGTGGAATTTGAGTTACACCTTACACAGACGTGTGCTCTTCACACTTAACTGCGAGAAACCTGTAAACTTTGGCCATGCTAGGCACTTACACATGGACATCGTTTTCTTTGACGTATATTGAGCTGGTTATCACATAAACTCAGGCTTCGACTCTTTGGTCTTTGATAGTAAACAAATTGTATCTTCAATGTATGTATGTATTTCACGAAAAATGCAATTTATTTCTCAAGATAAAAGACAATTGAGTACTATCTATCAATTTCAAAATAGAAGATAGATATAGTTAAAAAAGCGTTATACAGGTCAGCGGTGGACTGGTGGTTCATTTTCAAATCACTATCATATGTCACTGGGAGTTTTATGTTGTTACCGATGAATGTGCATGTGAATGTGAATCTAGATGCAGCACTTTAAACTATGGGGTTTCTTTTATTTTTCCTGTTTTTTTTTTTTTTTTTAGGCTTGGCTTGATTTTATTTTTCAAGAAATTAGAATCTTGTGAAGTTTGAGCTTCTAAAATCTGTGATGTTCAATTAAAAAACTAGTAGTCTGTGTCGAATCATGATATTCATTCAGAAGCTTGAACTTTGGATCATAAAGCCTAAGCAAAAGTGAATGAGATAATCATCATATGATCATCCTGTATTTATTGGACATGAATTTTTAATCATGAGGGGAATAATAATATTCATGTGAATATGGCTTTTCTTTCTTTCCTTTGCATTTATATCAGTGATTGAGTCTTTTCCTGCCTTCATTTTCTTCCCGTGACCCAAGTACTTTTACAAGATTTTAGAATATTAGGAATATGAATAGGAATTAGGAAATAGGAAATAGGAAAATTCTTCTACCCCACCCCCAGTCCACCCCTTCTAATTGCAGCCTTTTAATGGTGGAAAAGTAGCTCGCGCGAAATTGGAGTAAATATTTATCAGTGATGTACTTCACGCTGAACAGAAAATCAATTTAAATTATGTAGACTACTTTTTTATTTTTATCTGAAATGTTTACAGTTTTTTTTCATATCTTGACCCAGTAATATTTTACGTATTTTATATTTTTTGTGAATCATAATATAAATTATTTTTTAAAAGCTTTATTTAATAAAAAAATGTAGGACATTGAATAGATGTTATATATATTTTTTCAATTATATCTTAACCTTATTGAGTAATTGATGATAGTTTTTTAAATAAGTTAAATATTATATTTATTACGTTTAAGGGCATAAATAAAAAGATATATAAATTTTTATTTATTTTAACTAATTTTTTTGAAGCAAAAATTAGTTAATATTGATTTATATTTGAATAAAATATATATTTAATCTTTTAATTTCACACAACATTTCATTTTAATTCTTTAACTTTACAAAATATTTTTTTAATCTTTTAACCTTAATATTATTAGTTTTATCCTAATAAATTTTTATATTAAACTTTTAAATATTGATAAAATATTTTTAAATATTGACATATTTAGTTTAATTTTTTTTAAAATAACAATGATTTACATAAAAAAAAAATCTCTTCACACAGACGAGTTACTTTTAATATGTTTAATTAAGATTAAGAAAATTTTAAAATTTATTAATTTTATTAAAAAATTTAATAAATTTTTAATTTTATTTTTATTAAATACACACTTTAATGCTTTCTCTCACTACCTTTGAATAGAAGTAAAGGGATAGCTTATGTTAAAAAAAAAAAGATTAATGATTTATAAGTATTTTTGTAAAAGTTTTGAGTTTGGAGGTATGTTTTCAAGATTCAATTCACTTAATTCTTTTATTATCAAAATAAAAAAAATTGTGGATGTACGTAATCAATTATGCCCCTAGCAAGAAGATATGGGGTGGATTGAAGTTGGTGATTGATAGGGAGAGCAAAGGTGTTGATTCCCATGATTATTAGTTTGCAAAATTCACGATAATCAAAATTGGAGTGCTCCTCTATGAATGCTTCTCTTTTTTAAGTTAACAATTGAATGAATTTGTACAATCCTCTCTTTGTCACTTACCCATATTCATTCATGCATCTACATTTATGTCGCCGGCTAAAACATGAGAATCAACACATGAAAAAAAAAACAGTACTTTTATTTATATTTAATTTTTCATTAACACAAGTACTCCCCCCGTTCAAAAATATAAGGTATTTTTTGAGGAGTTAGATGTTAAAAAATATAAGATATTTTTAATATTTCGAGGTGTAATCATTGTCTTTTTTTTTAGTACCTCTATTGATGAGTGACTTTATATTTATTGTAGGGTATTTAATAGGGATAAATAAAAAAATATAAGGTTAGTTTGAAAGTAGGTAACTACTTTATTGGGGGTGAGATTCGGTTAAAAATGCCTTATATTTTTAAACGGAGGGAGTAAGTATTTTTTTTTTTGCCAACAAGTAAGTAATTATTTAAGGCTAAATTATAAAAATACTCCCCTAAACTTTGAATCATGTATACATAACTTCCTTAACCTTTAAAACTTTATAATAAACCCCCCTTAACTTTTATATTTGTGTAGATAATTTTATATGATTAATTTTATTAATTAATTATCTACACATAATTTAAAATTTAGGAGGTTATCTGTATATCAATTAAAGTTTGAGGACTTAAGTATACACAAAAATAAATTTTAAAGGGATATTGCATAAACTTGGAAGCTCAAAAAAGTTTATTGTTGAGTTTTAAAAGTTAAAAAGTTTATTTGTATATAATTTAAAATTTAAAGAAGTTATGTGTAATTTAACCTTTATTTAATGAGTACAAGGAGTTGATCAGCGGCAGCAGAAATCTTTTCCTTCAAGATGCTGAGGCTTATTACATATACAAACATATAGGATTCGAACTGATAAAAATTTCTATCATTAACCTCAATTTAAATTGATATAAGTAAATAATTTTGATTAGAGGTATGTGTATATATTTTATTCTAAATATAAATAACAACAACGTAACATGTTTTAGGACCAAACGAGCGCACACATGACACATATCATCTAACATTGGTTGCCATTAGAAAAAGAAATTCAAAGTAACAATATATTTCCTTTTATTTTCTTTATAAGTCACTTATATAAGTCACTTATAACATTTTTATCAGAATTAAGGTATTTGTACCCAATTAAAATAAAATATGTGAATCTTTTATATATTATTTTTTTATAATAAATTATTTTTATTAATTAAATCAATATGTTAAGATTCACATGTCTTAATTTGATTTAATATAAGTATATTAAAAATATAAAATTAAGTATATAAATCTTATTCAAGTTAATAATCATGAACTAATTAATGCTGTACTCCATACTTTTTTGTTATTTTTGAAAAAGCCCTTTGGTATTTTGCTTTTAGTTTTTTTTTTAAATTTTAAAAAAGAAACAATATTTCACGTTTAAAATTATAAAATATTGTAACTCATTTTTATTTTTAAAGAAAACAGTTAATATCATTAAAAATTGTATACTCTCTCAATATCCGTCCTTATTTTATACAGTAATTTAATCATAAATCTAAATATGAAAATTTTATAAATTTCAAACATTTATTAAAGATATTTTTGTAAAAACATCCTTAATTACTCTTGGAAAACACCAAGATATCTTGAATTTTTAAACTTGACATATCTAAAAAATATGTCTTATAATTCTGAGTAAAAGGAGTATAATGAAACAAAGAAATAATATAAAAAAAAGACTTGAATCCATTTTTTGCTGAACAATAACAATAATATAAATTTAAAAATATTGTATCTTTCAATGATTGAGGGATGAACAAAATTGCTTCCCCACGGTAACCAGGAGCGACAATTAAAGTTAGAATCGAACGGAAAGTCCAGAGAGGGGTCCGACAAAATAAAAATAAAAAGAGGGAACAGTGTTAGCTTCAACTTTTGTGAATCTTTTTCCAAACATGGAAATTTCTGAAATTCCTCACTTTCTCTCTCATTTTTCTCTTCCAAAATCAGTTGGGACTTGTGAGTGGGGACTGATCTTCCGTACTCATGACACTGATGACATTACCCTGATCAAAATCTAAATAATTGAGATTTAAATTATTATTTTATATTTATTAAAATATAAATTTATAAAAATTATAAAAAATTTATCATCAATCTAGTTTACATTTAATTTGAAGAGTCTAATTTAATATTAAAATTTTTGTAATTTTTATATATTAACTATTTAGATATATTTTATACAGTGTAAATTTAATATTAAATTTTTTTCATAATTTTTATAATTTTTATTTTTATATATATAATATCAAAAATTAAAATATATAAAACTGACTTTTTTTAAAAAATTATAAGTTAAAATTTTAAATTTGGACCATGTATAATATATTTGGATAGTTAATATAAAAAAATTATAAAAATTTTAATATTAAATTGGACTCTTCAAATTGAATATTGACCAAATTGATGATCAAATAATTTTTTTATAATTTTTATAAATTTTTATTGTAATAAATAAAAGATATATAATATAAAATTTAAAATAATAATTTAAATTTGGACCTAAATCTCATCACACAAGTGAGAATCACCATTCAAAAATATAAAATAATACTTTAAATCTATTGATTTGAATAGTCTAGAGCTCATCACACTGTGAAGCACAATGGTACTCATTAGTGTGATGAGCACGTGCTGAAGATTACTTTGTTGAATTCCTTGCATGCCTACACACCTACTTTATTATTATTATTTTTTTGAATATAAGGCCCTACAATAAAAACTGTGTAAAAAGATTAAGGTCTAGTCATATCAGAAATCATGAGGCTTATACAATCGGGAGACGGGTTGATAAAAATAAAAGTATCAAAATCTTTATAAGAAGTCTTGTGAATTAGAAGATTAGCGCAGTTGTTTGCTTCTTTGTCAACATAGTCAAAAGTAATAGTCCAATCTCTCATCAAGAGATTTCTAATGTTTTTG